CTATTTCCAATTGCGATCAATGGTCTTGCACCTTCCAATCACGTACTCGCGATTACGTTGGAGCGTCCATTTGCGATGGAAGAGGATAAGAAGATGCGATTTCAACTCTTATATGTCCTTCCGGATTCTTCCAAAGATCTCTCTTTTCTTCTCTCTCTCTCTCCCTCTCTTTCTCTCTCTTTCTAATTCGCCTCAGAATTTCGTTTTTGAAGCGAACATCGAAAATTAGCGACGAAAAGTTGGTGAATCCGCGTCAGTGTTTCCCTAGACGGGCCTAAGGGCTGAGGTTAAATTAACTCTTGCGTTATCATTTTGAATTATTGGTGTACGATAGTGCGCGCGTAGGCAGAGAGTTTTCAACCCAAATTACGTTCTTGTTGGTCTTTTTATAGTAATACCGCGCGCGCGTTCATAAATATTAATTATTTTCTTGCAATTCTGCTTTGTTTATTAAAAATACTTATTATTAAAGTAGACACGTAGCTTCGTGCTAACTTAGAGATTGGATTACTGGAGCAAGTTTTAAGAGACTATGAGCGATGAGATCTGGGATAAAAAAAAGGGAATGCAAGAAACAAAAAGATAGCCCATCTGAGTCTCGTCTGAATCAATAAAAGAGAGATCCAATAAAACGAAGCTGTCGCTAGATGCATGACACGCCACATAGTCAGGCTTCAATTTTCTTTGTCAACTTTGTGTATCAGGTATTCAAAAGACTGGATGCCATCAGAACATCAAAGGGAAATATTTAATGCAGTAATTTAATGCATAAAGGACACCTTTCAGAGTATAATAATTATTATGCTCATACCAAGTTTCGATGTAACAAAATAAAATAAGTTCAATATACCAATTATTGAATAATATTGATTATTGAATAATATTAATTATTGCGTTCAATTAAATTAAGAATGGAGAAATATTAATAAATTATCTTTATTAAGTAAGTATTACATACATGTGTGCTTAATTTCTAAATTTAAATTATTATAATTTCTATTGTAATTTCTAAATTTAAATTATTAGATATCTCTTCTTTACATATACGGATAAATAAATATACACATACGCACATGTATTTTATATAATTTTGTATATAATAATTTATATAATTTATAAGATAAATTATTAAATAATTTATAAAATAATTTATATAATTTTTTTCTTTTTTTCACATATTTATTTATGAGCCGAAATTTTACAAAAAATAAATAATATGATATTAATTTACATAGTAATAAGCGCAATTCCGTTATTATTATGAAAATTTATTTTATTTTTGAGTAAAATGTCTATTTATACTTGTATTTTTTAAATATAATTTTGCATCATATATTTTATTCGAAAATTTATTTATATGTTATAGAATTTATTTTGGAATGTGAAATAATCTAAGAAAATTGTATATGTAGTTTTTACCTAGCTTTACAGAAGAGACAAGGAAAGTTTTTCAGATTAAATTACAGAAGAGACAAGGAAAGTTTTTCAGATTAAATTGCGTATACACACAGAGAAGCAGGTATGCCATGAATCACCGATATGCTGTTTTAAATGCTCCGATGGTAGATATTTAAATGTATTTCGTGTAAAGTCCACAATTCAATCGAAAATGAAATTTTCAATTTGTCGGAATATTTAATATAGACATTCTTTGATGTCGATTTTGCGTCATTTATTCAGAATTTAAAGCACGTTTCTGTCTAATAATTTGTCCCATATATATAATTTCACATCACGTAAGGGGATCAAATATTTCTCAAGTGTTAACAAAGGAGTAAAATAATTTGAAGTTTAATTAATCGTTTAGTCAATCAAAAAAATTAAAGATTACATGAAAAGTGCATGTTAAATTAACGGCGAGATGAAATAAAATTTAATTGTAAACAATTATGTTATATACATTAATATAGTTACGAATAGGGTGTTAAAACAATTTTAAGTTCTAAATGTGTATATTGTGTGTAAAAGCACAAACGCTGCAAGGTATATTAAACTTAAACGTAGAATTAGCAATTTCAAAGTTTGAGCTCTCAAACATCGTGCTCACAATAGTATATTGCGAAGTATTTACTAAGACAGTACACAACATATGCAAACTGAATCAGTAATCAGAGACGAAACTTGTGGAGCAAAATGCTTACGGAATATTAGTTACAGATTTACATATCGAATACTAAGCGAGGATCATCCGATCTACGTAATTATGTGGATACAAGTGGCTTTGATTTATATACGTGGAATAATCTTAAAACACATCAAATTTACTAGAAGATATTGTAGCTACAAAAGAAAAGGAGAAAGAATATTAAAATACTATTTATTGTCTAAGGTAAATAGATAATAGGTTTTTAGTAAATTATTTTTATTAAATTCTTATTTATAATTTATAATTTGCAACAGAATAATTTTTCATGGTAGACTTCGCTGCAAAATTAATTGTAAATTTAAATCGCAAAATCCACTTCATCAATGATTTCTTATTCTTTCTCTCTCTCTCTCTCTCTCTCTCTCTCTCTCTCTCTCTCTCTCTCTTTCTCTCCTTTCCTTTTTCTCTCGTGCATGATGATTAATCGCCGCGGAAGAAAACGCACGATCTGCATAAAGTTTATTTAAACGATTAACCTCGCTTTATACTGGTGGGAAACATGCGAACCGAGTTCTCTCGAATGTTATCTAATGTACATTAAATGTCGCGTTGATAGCGAACAAGCGCAGTGCATCGCGGCAATATACATATGTGTTCGCATTTATCCGGTCTATCTTACTCTTCGCTCATCAAAATGCAACGGATATTAGAGCACTGATAACGCAAAACATACATTTTATTAACATCATTATACGACTCAACGAGAGGTCACATACACCTACTCACTGATAACCGTCACATGGGACAGAAAAAACAATGGGAGCTCGAAGAAGAAAATTACAAGATTCCACGTCACATCCGCCTACACTGTTCAATGCACGTGTACTTACTCATCGATCTGCATACCTTGCGAAGGTGAAATTCTCGCAACAGTTTCGCGGTTGCGCTGCTACGATAAAAGCTGCTGCATCATCGTCAATTTTTTTCATTTTATCTATCAACTAGTACTTATGATTTATTCTAGCTTATAAAGTATCTGCGAAAGGATTTGAAACAAGAATCGAGAAATTTTAGCCGGCGTGTAATGTACTGAAGAATGAGGTAGAAAAGAAATATCAAGTTAACGTACGTTTGCATACAAATTGATCCTTAAATAAAGGAGAAGAAAGAAACTGAAGAAAGAAACTGATTTACTATAAGCTGAATTATATATATATAATTTTATTTTACAAAGAGGTCGAATTCATAAGGATAAAATAACTTTTAAATAAAAAATTAAAATAAAAATTTGACTTGAAATGAATATATTTTTTTATTTACATATATACATATAATAGATTCCTAAGTTTTTTGATGTAAAAATGATAAAAGACACCTTATGTGTAAAAAACTAATCTTTTAAAGTTAAAAGCTAATATGCGAGAATGGGAGATGGCAATATTGTCTCTTGATTGTACAAACATTTGATGGCATAGCTACGTCCAGAATTAGTACTAAGTTTGTTTGACTTGTAGAATGTGTACTTTTTGTACAAGTTTATAGCATCGTAGAATATAAGTGAAATGATTATGTTAAACAGCATCGTCTTAAAGATACGTTTATCAAATTAAAATAATGGGTATAAAATGGAAATGATCGAGGATACGGCGATGTTACAAAATTTTGTCAAGCTTTTCAGGAAGCAAGTAATACCCGAGTAGTATCAGACTGCTGAATAGTATCAGGGATGTCACCCTACGAACGCTCCATCAACAAAAATATTTTTGCTGATGGTGTCTGACGTCTTTTAGATACAATCGTCCAGATATAGAGAATGGGTGAAAGGTTGCAAACACGGGAGAGGATTATATTGGAGGGACATAAGATTGCGTTGTCTATGTCGATAAATCCCATGGTCATACGTATAAACTCTGATTGCTGATTATTTCGTGTTCAACCCTCGTATATTTTTACGTACAAGATCTCTTAGATTTTATTTTAATATTGTAAACGAAAGAGAAAGAAAGAAAGAAAGAGAGAGAGAGAGAGAGAGGGGGGGAGGGGACAGGGATATTAAATTCCAAATGGTTTAAATCTATTGTGAAATTTTCGTCGCAAGGATGCGGGGAAACTTATACACGGACTTATCTGTTGGGATGAAAACTGTGGAAAGAAAAAAACGAAGTATGTGACCATCCTGAGCAATAGCATTTCGTGTGTTATCTTGAACGTATAACCGAAGAAACTTGCTTCGAGGGTTAATATGTCGACGATGCGCGTCGTCGGGGATTTAAGATAGGCAAGGGTGAGGAATATTTATTCTGCGATATTGCGTAAGAATTGATGCGTGCACGAGGATGGCGCAAGGAACATAAAGACGTACAGCTCGTTCACGATTGGCCACGGTGTGTCGGCGAGGTGTGCGGTATCCCGGACTAGTCCGGAGAGCCAGCCTGGTTTCAGTCAGCGGCGCAGAACCGTCGCGTACGCGTCGCAGATGCCGGGTACCACCGTCGACCGTTACTACTTGCCGCCGACCGCGAGAAATGCGCCAGCCTCGAATGCGCGCGATGTGAAATATCCAAACTTTTATAATAAATAATACAAACGTTAATAATGAATTAAATGACAATTTTAATCTATCGATCTATCGATTTTAATTAAATTAAAATAAACGTGGCGTTCCTCGAGCATTATTATATTTCAACATCGATTAATAGCAATTGATTTATTCGCGAAACAAAGTTTTAATCTGCACAAGAAATAAATGCAACTTATGTGATACAAAAATAGGAACACTTTTTATTTATTAATTGTGTGTTATCTCTCTCTTTCTCTTGTTCTTTCTTTCTCTCTCTCTTTCTCTCGTATATAAATTAACAAAAATAAATTTTCAAATGTATACTATAATTGTAGGATGTATAATTATAAAGATAGACTCTCTCGTTGAGAATATTTGCAATGTAAAGTTCAAAGATCTTATAGCGATTTGGATAGAAAATGTATCGTCGGTGAGAATATTATATTAAATTTTGATAGCTTTTCATCATGTATATTTAATTAATGTGAAACTTGATTAAATGGAAATTTTAATCTATTATCAACAAAATCTAAGTGAAAAGTATAATTTTTAATAATCGGATGTAAAATTAATATTATAAAAATACAATTACAAGACGATAAAATCGATTTTGATAAAAATCTCATTTTAAACTTCCCATATTTAATTTTATATTAATCTTTTACACGTTTTATTATTGTGTATTTGATTGGAATTATACAAATTGAAATATCATTTTACATAACGTAATAAAAAATTTTCTAGAAATATTACGTAGAGATACAGGAAGCGTAATTATATATATATTGACATTTATGCGTGGGATTTGAAAATTTTAGTCTTGTTTATGCGGTGGAACGTAAAATAAATTATATAATTTATTGATAAATTATAGGACGGCGCGATCCTGCAATCATATTTGGATTATCGTATAAAATTCCAATGTACAATATCATTCTGCTTTATTAAATAAAACAGATGGGAAGATGTGGAAAGTTATATTCGCGCGCGGAAGGGAAATTCAACATCATTGCTTTGCAGTCAATCAAGTGAAATTTGATTCAACAAACATATCTGAGGAAAGCAACATAATTAAGCTTCCATAAATTTCATTCTTTAAGACAATGACAATGATATCTGTTAAGCAAAATGGACAATAACAGGCAAATTCTTCTTTCAAAGTATAATTATAATTTGTGATCGCCTTCAAAGAAAATTAAAAGGACTTCTCGCGAACTTTTAAATGCGTCTTTCTTGCACCAAAACAGCTTATCACATATAAAAATATTACATAATTAACTACTTATAGATTTCTTATTTAAGTTTATTTTCTTAAATTAATTTTAATATAACGAAAATATTTGTGAAAGATTAGCTTATGATGTAAATCTGGTATATAAAATCGTACTGGTATATAGTATCGTACTGTTATCTTTGCAGTGAATGATTTCAAGCTGTTTTAAATGATCTGAATCACTCACAAATGTGACTATCATGTTTGAATAGAGAAGTGAACACGATTTTCTGCGAAATAAACAATTTTAACGATTGTGCCGATATAGACCGACGTTTGAAATATCGGTGAGTGAAAGATTCCCACACAACTAGTAGTATACATTTATATTTTATTGTTAATAAATATTTTATTTGTGCGAATTTAATCTTTTAAATTAATTTTTTTCTTAAATTACACTGTGTCAAAATAGTGTGAATTAAAATTACTATAAATTATTATTTAATTGTATTTTTATTATATTATATTATTATTTAATCATAATATAGAATAATATCGATATTTATTAAATTGAAAATTATAACTAAAAAATATTAGAAACTGTAATAGTTTTGTGTGTAAAAAATTGTTTGTGTCATTATACGTTTAACTAATTCGCGTTTAACATTTTCATAAAACATGTTAAAGTACAATAAGTTTAATTATCTATTTCATCATTATCATACATTTATTTCTTTATCTCATTATTAAATATCAATGTATATATGTATACATATGTTATAACGCATATTATTGATAGTTATTCATTTTAAATATCGCACAGGGCATATACTGCAGAAATGTAATCGACATATAATGATCTTTCTGCGGCACCATATACATTAATCGGTATTACTAGGTAATTAGCTTTATAATTTCAATGAATGTGGTTGAAACCACAAAACGCATAAGCATACCGCAAAAATGTATTGAGTAATTAAAATATTTAATGTTGTGATTACAATAAATAATGACTCATATATTGAGTGTATCATTAACGAACTGTTCATATTTTACGCGTGTTACGCTTTTATATATCAATTTGCATGCGGCAGCCTTTATCATGCAAACTAAATTCGTAACAAAAAGAGAAGCTCAACTGAGATATCATAGAAATGATTAATGTACCGAATGATATTTATTTTCGTTCTTTTCTGATGAACATCGCTATCCAAAGTTACTCAGAGTTGCTTCTAAAAGCCAGAGAGATCAGAGATTGACAAAGATATCAAGGACTGATTGATGCTTCGGGATCGCTGAAAATGCGATTTACTATTCGCGAGTTTATCAGCTGCCATACTTGTGATCTCTGTGACTTTGACATTTAATATAATTTATAGTCGCTTATCAGACTGTCTATCAAAAGAAGTATATTAATATCGTAAAATACACTGTCAACTATATAAAAAAATTCATTATTAATCTATCCATTGACAATTCAGGTGTTGATTGATGGGTGGGGATTAATATCGAAAGTGTATCGTAATCAATGTAATTGTTACGAATAATCGCATTAATTGACTATGAGACAAAACATTGATGTTAACCGTTGTTCAATGATTAGCAGATATTCTTGTTGATATTCAATCATTAATTAAGCATTATTCGCTAAATTCTAATTGAAAGAGATGGCAGTATTTGCTAAATTTACTATTAGAATCACATTTGAATTGCTACATTATAATACGTGATGTTATAATGTTGAAATAATTATAATATATTAGGGAAACAATTATGTATGTGTGTTAAGAAATGGCCTTGCGGCCATTGCACATGATAGACAGAAATAATAATGGCAGCAACTCTCTGTATTTCATTGCTAATTTCGAGATAACGTGCTTGTACAAATATCTAAAATTAATTGGCTTTTAATTAATCAATTGATTGATTACTTATAATGAAGAAAAATAAATTGTTATAACTTTTGCGAAAAATATGAAAAAATGAATAAATTCTTGTTGTGTCAAATATATATATGTATATATGGCCCACGGTTATAAAATATCAAGGGGAAAGTTTGGTATGTTCAAGACAAGCTCGAGAAGTCAGGCAGATTTACGTTCTGGTCCTTCGTCTTTTATGAAGATTAATGGAATATGATATCTTATAAAATATGTACCGTTATACATCCATTTTAAATGTCGGACACATTCTCTGCTCAATGAATCATTGATTATTCGCGGCTTCCGATCAATTCATGTACACTGTATGCGCGTGATGAAATGTCAATCAGAATGCTAAATTATATACTAGCCTTATAACATAAAATAATTCACGCTATAGTTCACGGCTGTAGATCAAATTTGTCGGCTCATGATTAATACTATAATAGAAATACGTAAAATCATTAGTATTGTGTGCAATTGCATTTCAAACGTCACTACAAGTTTCGGATTTATTTGGTTTAGCGGCCAATTATTATACAATGATGTATCACTGTATAATAATTGGCATTAAATCGAATATTATGTGATTATGAATTATTTTCATCGTCGTATAATATTTGATTAGATTTCTATAAATTTTACTGTATTTGCAGAAATATATAAATGCAATTTATATACATACATATATATATCAAGAACGATAAGATATACATATGATATACATATATATATTGTATAAATGTATATCAAGAACAAGTAATACTGATACACATTCGTGTTCTCATTCTTATCCTTCCGTATTATACATATAAAAATCAAGTGACAAGCAAGGAAAAAACAAGATTATACGATATACGAATTTTATGCATGTCTTTCCTTTTATCAACACTTGTTCCATCATGGTTCCTTCATGATTTCGTGATTCGTATGGTACATAGCATGTGTATCGTTTCTTTCGCGGCGCAAACCTGACCTGACCCAATCCACTTGAAAAGGCGGTAGAGCGAAGCACGCATATATAAATGACAGGGAGTATCTTTGAACATTTATTGCAGCGTTGCATTAATAAAATGACTTACTACATTGTTTACGTCGTTCGTGTCTGCCCGATTCCCATCCGGTGGTCTGGGACGAAATGAGATGTGTCCCTAGAGTGATGCGTTTCCTCGTGTACACCAACGTTGTATATCAACTATTCTCTTCGCTTTGCTTGTCCACGTCACTTCCGAGTAAGTTCATTAAAATTTTGCGGATATTTTCATATCTCATACGGAACATATGTGAAAACTTGACTTGGAAAATACGAGGATATTTCCCAAAATAATAGAATCATTTGAATTTCAAGAAAACACACGTAACTAATGCTCTCATTTGTTAAAAGATCGTTTAGCTTTTTGCGCGAAATGTTTTCCAACAGATTCTATGATAAAATTGATGTCAACTCTTCCTTAGCAGAAAAACGAAAGATTGCAATTTTTCTCAGTTTTTCCTTCAGTGTGTCTGAAAGTGACTGAAAAGACAGTGCATATCCTACGTGCATATCCTCGACTGTCAAATTATAAATTTAATTGAAAATTTTTCTTGCGTATAATTTTCAATTCACTTTGCCGACATTTTTACCATTTCCCACGTCAGTCTTATATGGACCTGGAACATACAACCTACATTTAACAATAAGTTGAAATGTACCCGTCACGTATATATACGTTATCTCGGTATTTCGATGGTTCAGAAATTCATTTCACGCCGCTTTTGCGTGGATTTGTTGAAATATATAAATGGGAATGAAAGGCGTCGTATGGTCTCCCCCAACCGTTGGCGCGCGGCAACAATTGTGGAAACTGTCTGAGGCACCAAGCACGTTAGCACTTTAACGTGCCAGCTCGCGAACAACGTTCCTTCAGCCCTCCGGGGACTTCGGTTAACCCCAGTTAAGCATCCGAGGCGAAAATTTATCAATCCCCGCGAATATTCTTCGTACGCCGTTATACTCCAATTAGAGATTCGCCTCTGCCACGTGGCGGTAGTCTAATGCTAAAATCGATTGTGTAAAATTTTACTCGCTGATAATTCTCTAAGAATCGTTGCGTGCGAGGAGTTTTCGCTTTGATTGATTTCTTCGAATAATCTGAATTATCTGAATAATAAGAATCTGAATTATCTAAATAAATAACGCGCGCAAAACACGCAGTTATTAATTGTTGTTTATGTAAATAGCTAACGGTTCTCCGTCGAATAATCACATATTTATTGATTTTTTCGTACAATATTTTATTTCTCTGTAATATTGACACGTAGAAAACGGTAAATATATCACAATTTAATTAAATGTTATAATTGTTTGCGAAAATATATGCTTATTGATAGATTTTTGTATTAAACTACCTATTGTTTATCAGCGTCGTTCGAAATAAATGCCACAGAAGTAATTATTATAGAATATATAATTATATGAAATTATATGATAAATTATTAAACAGCTCGTATCACTAGGACAGGCATTGTAAATAGACATTACTGAAAACATTCGTACAAATCTTGCGAGCAAATTTCGCCGTAGAAATTTTGTCACGCAACGACATATTTGTTACTGCATCTCGCGAGCCTATCGTACTGATATCATCCTACATATGCATAATAATCTCATTAGACTTTCAGAAAATTAGGTCAAGTATCGCGCGCCTGCTTTTATTTTATGGCAGTGTATATATTTCGATTTCGATTTTCTTTTCTTGCGAATGAATCGAAAGTTAGCTGAATATGTTCGTCGTATTTTCCGCGATTATTTTTATATTGCGATTTTTATATCGCACGAAATGTGACTGATACTCCAAAGAGTCACGACGATAACTCCAAATGATAAATCAGATATCCGCGGCACGTTGCGCGGTTGCATATTGCAATTTGTAAGTGAAACTGCGATAAATCCAGAATCAAAATCGAATTGGATTCTACATGAACGGAATCTTAATCAGCCTAGTTTTATTTTTCTAATTTTCTAGGATATCGTTAGAATCCTCAAGATTATATCTTAAAGTGTAAAATATATAGACGAAATAATCGTGTATTTACGTTAACGGATGTATAAACTCTTGTATAAATTTAGCTCTCAAAAGCAGATAATACATTCAACAAGATATTTGTTTGCAATATCTGTGTGTAACATCTTTGGCAATCTTTGCCATATATGTAGAAAATATATTGAATATTCCTTTGAAACACTGCGAAAAAAAAGATTGAAAAGAATAATATAGTAATATACACCACAGACCGGTCAATATTATACATAATTCAAGTTAAAATTGCAAAAGTTTTTCTTAGTAAACTTCGTAAACGTATTTCTTTTATTCATAAATAATTTTATACAGTTGGTTATTCAGAAGACTAAATGTTGTAAGACACTCATGTGCTATGCATTCCGTGTCCGCAAATTTTAAGGCTTTGTACAAGCGATCATAAACTACATATATATATATATATATATATATATATATATATATATATATATAGTCAGAGATCAGATTAATTTTATGTAGAATAATAATTATTTTTTAATTGTATTTTAAAAATAATTTCTTAAATTATGCTTAACATAAAATTCAAAATCTGATAGTAAGTTATTTGTTAAAGATAAATGGTAATTAAAATCCACTTGCATCTCAGTTATCTTATTTGGGTATTTTTATACCTGCATATTTATTTTGTTGAAACTTATTTTTTTGTACAAAGAGAAAAGGAAGAAACTACTGATTTAAACGGCGTTGATTGCGCTGCGTAATTATATACTAAATCAGAGAATTACTCTAGAGATTTAACTGTGCAAGCATATAAAGTACTACAAAAATGATTAGGAAATTTATGAGAAATTATACTACAGAATATACTACAAAATATACTCCCTTTATGGCGTATATCTAGAAGCGAAGCAAATAAAACGCGGATATGTAACATAAGTTTAAGAGTTAAACGAGAATATCATAGAGGCTTGATTCTAATGCTTTTTTCATTAATAGAAGAATATGAGAGAATCAGTATTTGCATCTTGCGCGTACAAATCTTGTTTAAGCCGCTTTATTTCGCTGGCAAAAAGATAATTTTGAATGCTCCTGAATGCTATTGGGATTTTCATCGCAATATTATTAACAATATTATTAACAATATTATTTAACAATTATTATTTTCTAGTAGAAAGAAGATATTTATCATTGAAATGTATTTTTTTTATTTCTTCGAATCAATAGTAAAATAACAGGATAATACTATAATTATAATTATTATATTTTACAGTTAAAAACTTATAAGATATAGATTTTTATAATAAAGATAATGTAAATTAGATATATAAATTATATACTATATTTTACATATAACTAAATTCAATTTCTAAATAATATTTTCTTAAATTTGAATTACAGTATCTTTTAAATTAAATATTCGTTGAAAGAGAAAATATTCTTAGAAAGAGAAAATTTGGATAAATTATAAGTTGTAGTATATGCATATTCTTCTTTACAATAATTCATTTTTATTTTAACGTTTCTAAAAATTTGTAATACATATCAACATTGTAATCATGTCTATCATTTGTAATACATATCAAATTCTTCAATATACAGACTTTCACAGTTATCAAACTAGATACACGTGACAAATTCCTATAATCAGTATAGGAAAGAATATGTGTCGCGATCGTAACAGTTTCCTCTTGCTTGAATGTGTTCCATCGATTGGCACTATCCGTAATATGGCGGAAAATTGAACGAGTGAGAAAAAGAATTACCCACTACAATAAGCACACACAGCATATTTCTTACGTTCTATAAAGAAAAGAGCGAGAAAAGAAAATAAAATGTGAGAAAAAACAGCGATATAAAAAGCTTCAAGACCAGATAACGCAAAACTTTTTATTGCAAAAACGAGCAGCACGAGTTTTAAAATGTAAAAAACTGTAAAGAAAATGTAATATGTAGGAGAAAAAGCAAACAAAGAAAAATTCGTAATTGCCTAAGAACACTATTTTTGCACAATTCACTGAAAAATTGTTATATTTATAATGCATCTCATTCTTTTGAAAACGAAATTAGAAATCGTTACAAAGCTACAAGAATAAAATTTAGTAATATTAACAAAAATTGAGTAAATATCGTATGTATATCTATCTGTTTTATTGATAATATGAGCACAATAGTAGAATAGAAGAACAGAAGAGTAAAAATTAAAATAGGAAAAGCGGAAAATTAGAAGCCATAATAAATACGTAACTGTCAGTTGATAAAAATGCAAATAAATAAAACGGTGACTGATTAAAGAGACATGTACATACGTACATTTACATATTGCTTTTTACAGATTTGTAAATATATTGTCAACATCATACAGAGGAGATTAATAAATTAATATGTCATAGAGCGAACATTAATTATAAAAATATTTTTCTCTTGTCTTATATATTATTTTTTTTAATTTTTAAAAATGGTTTTAATTTTTCTTTTATCGTGTAATATAAATATTAATTCGTCTCTGTTAATGTATTGGAATTTCTTTTTCAGAAAATGTTTGCATTGTGGGATTTCAAAATGAATGGAAATAAATTATATGATATAAAAGTTTTAATAATAATCTGCATTATATAGCAATATTTAAGCTAAATATATGTAAAATAAAAATGGAAATGCATGCGTATACGTTTTAGCAATTAAGAATTTTACATTATTCAGAATTATTGCTTTAATTCATGTATTTTTTTACAGATATTCATTGAGGAAGTCATCACAAGTGTCAGAAGACCGATTAAAATTACAATCATGTGGCAAGCGAGAATCGCAAGAGAGAGTTATTATATAATTATTACATAATATACTCCTAATTTTTTTTAACTTTAATATATTTAAATTATCAGTGCTATATATATATATATATATTCTTTTTTCAATCTTTCTTAATTAATATATAACAACACAATTTGACATTAACGCTTATAACACTGTCGCAATAATTGTTAACTAAAGTTGCAGCAATTAGTGACAAATTTCTGGCAAAACCGCGATGAAAGCTGTAGAATTGTAGAAGATATGTTTGAAATCGTGAAAAAAAATTGTTGACTTTATCGTGACACGGTTATCAACTCAAGTGACATTGGGAAATTAACGAATAATGAACGAAACCTATTCATTAGTGCAGGTACAAGACAAAAGTTTAATAAAGCGACATTTCAAATTGATGTGTAACATCCGGTGTAGGATATTTTCGCCGATATGAACGCTCGATACGACGAGGGGTGAAACGAGGAAGGATCGACGAGCACACACGAGCACAAAAAAATGTCTATTCGCGACTTGTCCGATAACCTGGTTTCCACCGAATATTTCGGTGTTTTAGTAGCCGATGACGGCTCGCCGTTTGTTACCGACCTTCCCCGGTTCTCCACCGTCACTTCCGAAATTGCCAACGTCACCTCGCCAGTCATTTTGCAATCGTCGAGTCAAGACAGCCTTCTGGAGAATCTCATTATACCGTTATACGTTACAATCTTCTTCCTTTCCATCGTCGGAAATTCTTTGGTGCTCATCACACTGGCGAGGAACAAACGGATGCGGACAGTGACAAATGTCTACCTACTAAACTTGGTAAGTCCTTGTTGTACTCTGCTTGACTTTTGTTAAATGAAGAATACGGATGTATTCTTTCATAAATACTAGATAGTGTCTTTCAGGGAGAAAATAAAGAGAAATTTTAATAATAAAATTTTCAAATTTCAACTTTAATATTTATTACATCAATGTATATTAATTTTCAAAATGCTTTATATGTTTACTTGATATATAAATAAGAATCCAATTAATTTTATCTTATAAAATTTATAGCAAAATCTTAAATAATACTCTAATGCAAATAGTGCAGTGATGCACATAATCACTTTTCTTTCCTGAAAAGAAATATGGACACGGCTGTTTATTCATGAATATGCAATTCTATCGTCATTAAAATTCATACGATGACATTCTCCGTTATTGACGTTTAAAAAATTGTTTAACATATATATAGTTCATCAATCAGCGATTGATTTAACTTCTGTATTTTGTAAATTGAATATGGCGGCAATGCGCTGACCGATTGGTTATTTATGTTCAGGAATATTGTGACAGCAACTATTCGATAATATTGAATGGTTTTGTAATCGACTTTAATTGAATTGAATTGAATCGAATCGAGTTAAATAGATTTTCTGGCGCGCTCTCTTTCAAAATAAAATTTTTGCGAAAATTATTTTAAGCCGAGTGTATCATTCATGACAACAATGCTAGTCAATTTCTTATTAGCAGTGTAATATTAGATTTTGTATGAACATAAATGCCATTCTCTTTAATTTGAATAATTTTATTATGATTCGTCTACACATCTGTGTTAACTATTTCGAATGCTGCATTATAAATGTTGCTGCTTTAATTTTTAATTCATAGATACTGTAATATATGTGTGTGTGCGTATACATACATACATATGTTATTGTGGCGGAAAAAATAAAACAAGAGAATAAAATGGTAGAAACATACGTGTATATAAATTTGCATTCCTGATTGCGTCAAAAGTCAAATTACATTTCTCCAGATAGTAATTTCGCATTCGACAATAATTCACGCGGATAATACATTATTTAAAAATAAGCAATAAGCAAAGTTTTTCATCATAGATTCAACTGAACAATTTTTCAAATCAGATATGAGATAAAATATATGTTGCGTGCTCCACATAATATTTCTTGGAATTTTTACGATGTCTCGTGCAAGTTTCTGCGGGAACAAAATATCTGGCATGGTTCGCGGGTTAATAAATAAAAGCGGAGAATGATAAGAGCGCCAACGAGATTCAAGAGTGTGCAATGTCCTACGCGCATCTATTTCCTATTTTTGCATATTTTGTATGTGCGGTGCTCCGGGAAAAAAACTGCCAACAGCATCTATTTTCGGTTGCACCGGCTGCTGGCGATTCGTCACGCGTGCATAGTCATCATTTTGCCAGAACGAAGAAAAATGTCGGTCACGTTCTTGGATGCCGGAAACCTAAAACCTTTTCCTACTATGTATTCAATGAGAGTAAGACTCGTAAAATTGCTTATTGTTAAAATAGGCTTTACCCGAAAATCTTTAATATAGATGTCGAACGGTAGTCAATTTATCTCTTTATTTCATTATTTAAAATTGCTATTTAAAAAAATTACACGCAAATTCAGAGCTTAATTTGACATTATAAATATCAATTAACATTATAAATATCAATTATTTGTTAGTTTATAAATTTTATTTATCAATATCTTATTTTTTAAGTGTGTAATGATGTATATTTAATGCAACAAATAATTCTGTCCCAAAAAATTTTTGTTCTTAAAAAACTTTTTTAAAAAGAGAAATGTGTATAAAATAATAAATATTTTCAATAAAAACACAAAATAAAAAATCACAAAAGATTTAAAACAATAGAATATACATATATTGACAAATATTATTACATTGATCTTGTAAATAAATTATGTTTCATAATCTTGATATACATATTTTATTTTCTTGTCGACGTGCACCAAGAAGCATTCTACGCTTATTTGTTTGATAATATTTGCGTGCTCGTAGACGGCATACAAAAATATGATTAAAAAAGTTTTTTTTAGAGATATTTTTTATCTTTTTAAAAATAAATTACATTCATAAAGAAATTCGAATTCGAATTCGCGAGGAAATATATGAATATTTTAATATTTATATTGAACGAAAAAATATATTCCAGCTGCGCGAGCGCCCCAGTGAATTGCGAGAACAGTTCACCTGCATAAAAAAGCGCACGCAAATAATACAAATATTTACAACGAAAAAGTGGAAATATCGGAGCTAATAAAACTAAGTTATTTCTTCTCCTATTTTTTCGTTGCTTATTTTCATATCAACACTTATTATATGTCTATTTATATTGACGAATAAGTTTTCTAATGCTTCTTTGCATATGAATAAACTTATAAAATTATATTGATTTGTGCAGTAAGAGAGTTATTTCAATAAAATATGTGATGTATATATATATACATTATTGTTTATTAAACATTCATTAAGATTGATTAAATTTCTATCAAAATTTATATTAAAGTAGTAAATGTAACTATTTTTTTTATTTACAGGTACACATAATATATAAAATATTTTTAATGTTTTTTTCTTTTATATTTTTACTTTAGGAAATAAAAAAGAAGATAAATATTTCAAACATTTAAATAGATAATATACAAATTTAAAATACTAATAATTACTGTTTAAAAATATTAATAATTACTGTTATATCAATATTATATCATATTATATATTGACTAAAAAATCACGCAAATAACAATTATAGTTTTTTACTTTATATAATAGATATAAAGAATTTACTATGTATATTAAAAAAATGTTTTAAGATCGATAGAATTCGCTTTTCGCTTCACAGCTTTCATTAAGATGGTAACTTCATAAATGCAAGAGTTGTGCGCGTGTTTTTTTACATAAATATTATTTAGATACAAAGCATTTTACTACGACAGGGAAAGTTAGCAATAACTGTCATGTCGTCAATAAATCGCCTCGCCATGTGACGCCTTTTGAATAAGAAAAGAATTCTTTTAAGATGAGATTCTTCTTTATAAAGTAAAAAGAATCTTTAGAAAACGAAGAGAAGTACTTATAGCTGGTGAATTGTTTTGATATATAAGGCACTAAAAATTTACATGTAAAACTTTTGGGATCATGTCACAAAATTTAAGTCCTCATAAAAAAAGAATCCTAATAAACAATTGAAAATAAAAAAGAAACGATCTTTCGTGAATTAATTTCCATAGAGATGTTTTACCAGATATCATAATGTATTCTTATTTTTAATTTAATCATAAAAATATTTAATGTAAAAAATGAGGAAAATATGCAGTAAAAAAAACATTGTCGAGTTACAATTTTTGTCGAAAGAAACTGATATTAAATTGATAGAAGAATTTGTGAACAATGTTTGAACGTAATTTTTCAGCATTTTTTCTTGTGTATCGTTATAGTATATGTAGGTTGTTATTGGTTGTATGGATCAATAAAGTTTTTACTATACGATTAAAAGAAACGTAACATCTTCTTGATTCAAATTGGCTCGTTTGCGTGAAATAATTTTGTACGCGCTGCAATACATAGTCTGGAAAGTTTACGTATCCCTCGTATAGTGAAACATGATGGTTGCAAATTATGTAGTGCTATTAGCAAATGGTGTCCTTGTCACCGAGATTAAAAAAGTTTTCATAACACAGAAGTGAAACACGATATTGTTTGCATTTTATTTCCTAAACAAACTTTAGAATTATTTAAAATTTTTCTTAAGCTATTACATTAGAATAATCTGTTATGATATATCAAAGATTATAGCTATAATCATCTCTTGTGTGTGAGTGGAATAGAAATTACTCGTTGAATTAATTTTTGTTACATTTTTGCTCAAAGGTATTTTTTAAATTATTCTATTTGATAATCTGTATTTGTCTAATAATCAATAATCTGTCAAAATTAAATTATTCTATTTGATAATCTATATTTGTCTAATAATCAGTAATCACACACACAATATGTATATCTAATAATAATGCATATCTAATAATCAATCAGATTAATAAAACTTCTAATATTTATATTATTAATTCTAGCACAATACAATTGCTATTGCGACTCATCAAAAATACTGTTATCTCATTAAAAAATAAATTTTAAATTGAGAGCAATATTATATTTATGTGTAATGTTCTATAAAATCATGTTTGTAGATAAATTCAGCTTAAATTAATACATAATCATCAAAAATGATAAAATAAAAAAATACCGATGTTATCGTTAAATGATATTAAAGAATATAAATATAATAATATCCTAATCATAATTTATATGCCAACTAATGATTAATATTAATTATTTTTTATTAGATATATATTAGTTGTTCATATATATAGCACTATTCTCTTGACGCAGAATATTTCATGACAAGATCCTTTCATCTGCTTACATAATATTCTCCAAATATTTCCACTCCGTTCCGCATTTCCGCAATCTTCCTTGAACAGATTCATCATACTGATAAGCTCCTTAGCAAACCCTTCGATTGGGCGCTAGAAAGCCCTTTGCGGAAGCGGAAGTCCAGACAATCAACAAATATAATCTACTGCGCTCTTGTGAACAGCATAGATTACCGTATCGATACCAAGTAATATCTTTAGGGAAATGAATGAATTTAATACAGTATTCCCTAAAATAGAAAATATTCTATGTATATTTGCTTGATATATATATTTGCTTCTATGTATATTTGCTTGATATGATTTATTATGTATCAATGAATCAGCTATTACTATCTGTTATACAAAATATTTCAACATAGCTGCGACGTATGAAAAATAATACACGATAAATCCATTTTCTCGGATTCGGCTATATTTTTGATATTTTTTATATTGTATATAAAAGCTCGATATCAAAAATACTGAATTTAAATATTTCTATGAGCATTGCAAAGCATTTCTACAAGCATTGCAATATTGATTCTGTAGTAGAAATGCTTTTTATATATATTCTAAAAATATTCC